TCCCGCCTGCTGCTCACAGGAGGAAGCGAGGAGGGCGGCCGAGGAGCAAGCAGAGGGGGCAGAAGGTCAGGAGGAGGAGGAGGAGGAGGAGGAGGAGGAGGAGGAGGGGAACGCTTAAGCCTCCGCGAGGAAGAGGAGGAGAAAAACGATGAGGAGGAGGAGGAGGAAGCAGAGGACGAGGAAGATCAGGGGAAGAACAAGGAAGAGGAGGAGAAAACCCCGACGAGAAACGACGACGGGCCACCCGGGCGCGCGTTTGCGCAGAGCACCGCTCCGCGGGGCGAGTCGGGGCCGTGGCCTCCGCCCGCCTGGCGGGCGGGCGGACGGCGGCCCGCCTCTGCTCGCGGCGGCCTCAGCGGCCTCGCCCGGCCGCAGCGGCCGCTGCGCGAGCTCAGACGTCGGGCGCTCGGTCGTTCGGCACTCGCCGCGCGGGCTCCCGGAGGTCTCCTGGCCCAGCTCGGGCCCCTCCTGGGCCCGACGAAAGTCATGCGGGACCACTCGGGCGAGCCCAGAAGGGACGCTCTGCTGCTCCTCCTCCTCCTCCTCCTCCTCCTCCTCCTCCTCCTCCTCCTCCTCCTCCTCCTCCTCAGGGTCACTTTAGGGCCCCTCTTGGGCCCCTGCTGGCAGGGCCCTTCTCTTTACCCCCCCCCTTTCTGGGTCACCCCCCATTCGCACCCGCCTGGTCGCCCCGTGGCCCCATGCTTCCCGGTGCCCGAGGCAGCGCTGGATCGGCGTGGGCAGGGATGGCTGTCGTTGCCCGCGTTGCCAAGCAGAGATCGGGTAGAGGCAGGCTGTGGATGAGGGCTGCGGAGCAGGGCAGCGTCCATGGATACACCAATGCGCGCAGGCTTCACTCGCTTCCTGAGGTCGAGGTCGAGAGGGAACAGGAGGTCGAGGGGGGCAGGATGAGGTCGAGGGCAGCACAACATCCCTGATTGGCGCTTTCTCATTGGAAGCTCTCGCAAAGTGGGCTCTGAGGCCCCCAACCCAAGAATGTCCCACAGTGGGAAGAGGTCGAAGGAAGAAGGGGAGCAAGAAAAGAAAAGCAAGACGGGCGGAGCAGGAAGAGGTTGAGAAGAGACGATGACATGGACGGTGAGGAGGATATCAAAGGGGAGCAAGAGGATGTTAAGGAGGAGCAGAGTGAAACAGAAGAGCCAGAGGAGCCGGCGGACGTCGACAACGAGCAGGAGGCGGTCGAGGATGAGGACGAGGTCGAGGGGGAGCAGGAGGAGGTCGAGGAAGAGCAGGATAGTGTCGAGGGGAAGCAGGATGCGGTCGGGGTGGAGCAGGAGGTCGAGGGGAGCAGGGGGAGGACATCGGCGGCTGGAAAACGGGAAAAGGGCAAGCGAGAAGGCGACATATGGTATCCGATCGGAAACGGATCGTTTAGGATCGCATGTCGGGCTCATCTTTATGCAAACCAGAGACAAAATCGTGCCGCGTTGGGTGCGACCACATCGATGTCGGAATCAAAACTGACGGGAATTGACAGCATCGAATCGGACTCGCTTCGTGAACTTTGGGGAAACGTCTGTGTGAGCCGCGTCGTACTTCGTCCTCTGGCATGCTTCCGAAGGGCGCTGCAGCATAGGACGGAGTATGAAACCATGAGGGAGCAGGGCCACAAGAACAAGAGGAAGGGGAGGAGCACGAGGAGGAATAGTGGCAGGACAGACGCTGCTGGAGTGTCCATGTCGGCGGGAGTGCAAGACAAATACTGAAGAGGATGTAGAAAAGAAGGGCGACTGTGTAAAGTACGGGAAGATACACCAGAAACGGGACGGAGGGCAGGAGAGAGAGAGAGAGAGAGAAAAGGGAGAGAACGGCTCCGCCCTCCTGTTCCTCCAAACGTTCCTCCTCCTACTCCTCTCCACCAACACACCCGATCCTACTCCAACTTTCTTGCCCCAACGCGGCCTTTATCAGCCCCTGGATGTTCTCCTCCTTGGCCTCGCTGAAGATGAACATGCCCGGCGATTCCCGCTGCTGGGCGACGCGGGGGCGCTGTGAAGGAGAAGTGCAAGATAGTGCTGATCGGTGAAAGTTTTCATCCCTCATGTTGCCAGCCTCGAACCTATCCCTATCCCTAAGATTGACACGCCAAAAGGCGATGACAATCTTGGGGACTCGCCCTCAAAACATAAGGGAATCCCTGAGAGTGGCATCGTGATGAGGAGGTGCCCACCCAGCATAGGGATAGGGATATGCTCCAGGCTGGTAAAGATAGTGCTGATCGATTAAGACAACGATAACAACGATAACAACGATAACGACGATAACAACGTTGTTATCGTTGTTATCGTTGTGATCGTTGTCATCGTTGTGATCGTTATCGTTGGTATCGTTGTCATCGTTGTGATCGTTGTCATCGTTGTTATCGTTGTGATCGTTGTTATCGTTGTGATCGTTGTTATCGTTGTCATCGTTGTTATCGTTGTGATCGTTGTTATCGTTATCGTTGTTATCGTTGTCGGTATCCCTCGTGCGATTACAATCGGGCGCGGCAGAAGATGCCGAAGGTCCGCGCGGATTGTTCCGGGGTCGGCACTGGGCCCCCATCCCCTGGCGCGTGCCGCGCCAGCGCGGGCCGCCGGGGGGGGTCCGACGCGGATCCTGTCATCCCGCCCGGGGCCTCCCACGACGATGGAGCCCTGGGCACACAAACAAATGGACATGAATCCCCGGATTCCCTATAGTTTCTCACACGTTCTGGGTGCTCGTCTTCCCCCATATTCCCTTTGCAATTCCCCTTTCTTCCCTGGGGATCGACGACTCACTGTGTCTGTGCTCTTTTCCCTCGTTGCAGAATTGGACGCCCGAAATATCCGGGGTAATTCGGGTCCGGGGTAACTCGGGTTGGGACTCCCGAGCAACGAACCCGAGTTAGCCCTGACCCGAGTTACCCCTGATGATTCGGGGCTCTGGACGCCCGAAATATCCGGGGTAACTCGGGTCCGGGATAACTCGGGTTGGGACTCCCGAGCAACGAACCCGAGTTAGCCCTGACCCGAGTTACCCCTGATAATTCGGGGCTCTGACAGAAGTCCTGTCTGCGTACGGACGGATGCACGCTCACGTGCACGCCAAGGCGCGGCCCTCTGTGCGGACAGCGGCGATGGCCCGCCCAACGCCTCGGACGTGGCCGAAAACCGCAAGAGCCCAGCCCGTTCCCTTCGCGGGCCTGCTCCAAATCTGACGCGGCCGGCCGCTATTGACTGATATGTGCGCCCGATCTATGATCTTCCGTCCTGCTCCTCCTCCTCCTCCTCTCCCTCCTTCTCCTCCTCCTCCTCCTCCTCCTCCTCCTCACCCTCCCTCTCCTCCTCCTCCTCCACCTCCTCCTCCTCTTTCTCCTCCGCCTTTTCCTCCTCCTTCTCCTCCTCTGATCCACTGCGCGGCTGCCTCTCGGTATTTTGTAGCCCCCTCTCAGTGCTTCGCAACCCGGTCCCGCAGACCCAAACAGGCAAACAACCTTCCATCGTGGGTCGGCCACTGAAGAAAACTTGTCCGTGATTCGATGGAGCTTGAGGGAGATCGCGGATGGATGGGATAAGGCGACCACGGAATTCTGGATGAAGGCGACGGTGTAGGAGAGGACGGAATGCAAACTCTACGCCAAGCTGTGCGGATGATCGTTGGTGACATGCTCCTCGGGCGTCCGCCGATCATTGTCCTCAAATTCGCTCGTGCGCGCCGAAACGTGCAGCATCAGGGCTGGCATTGTGCAAACGTACAACCCCAAACATGAATTCAACGAATGGTACCAACCAATATATTCTGCACGATGCTGCAGCATATGATTTCTAAGCGATCCGAATCTGGCTGTTGGTTTTCGCGTCGCGAAGTCCGCCGAAACCCACCACCCTGCAGATATACTGTACGTCCGTAAAAAAAAAACAATATCAATACTCATGCCGTCGGTCGACCTGTTCCCCGGGTAGCGTTACTCAATGCGTTAGCAGTCGGAGTGCATTGCGAGGCCCGCTGTACCTGCAACGTTCTTGATATCCCGCAGCGTGGCCCTATAATGCCTGAGCGTGTCGGAGACAAGGAGGAAACCATCTGCGAAACGCATCTCAGAAAGTTTCGCGTGATTTTGGAAACCCAATTTCAACCGCATGTTCCTTTCTGCAGCCTTCCTTCTTACTCCGTCCACCACGTCTCGAAGGGGCAGTTGAAGCGCAATGTGACTAGAAAACCCTCTTGCTTTGCCCAGCGTGGGATATCGTAAGGCTTGGTTCATCAATCCATCCGTGCTCTGGCACCCTGCCCGTGCACTGCCTTTGATGGAACCCAATGACACAATACTCGTCTTCTTGACGGACAACATGTCGCCACAAATAGCCATGCCGAACGTAACCGGGAGCGTTCCTGAAGAGCTGCGAACCAAATTCTGCATGACCACTCATAGCATGTCCCCAAAAGTGCGAACACCGTATGTGAAGTACTGCGCTGACGCCATTTTCCTGAAAACCGCCAGCTCCATATCGCTGTACGTTTCCAATACGGGATGCAATATGTGGTACAGCTCTTTCCCAAACTCTTTGTAAAATATGATCGCCACGGCGAACGGACGGTAGTTGATGCAATCGGCAACGATCCAAGCCTTGCGTAGAACGGTGACGGCGGATTGGCATCACGATTCTGGCGGGAAAACAGCCAGAGATAATACGTCAGCGTGCGAGTTCAAAAGAAGAGATACGACGATACCACCACATTTGTTTAGCATCTCAACACAGACCCCAAGTTGACCGCAACACTGACCATTCCTCAAATTACGCAACTGCCGCCGGAATTGCTCTAATGTGCATGGCTTAATGCCACCTGAGATCGTTCGCTGTCCACCTTCATCTAGGCTGTGTTGCCATCGTAAAACTGAATAGCCCGACCTAAAATCAAGAAGCAAATCATCCGCGATACTCAGCCAACCAATTTGGGTTGCGCCCGTGTTGGTCGTCATCTGCGTGGTCCTGTTGAATGTGGGAGTGTTGCTTTTGTCCCTGAAAGATGCGAGGGCAACTTGTGTTTCTGAAACAGATCCGACATCTCCTGATTCGCCGGACTAGGTTGCGAATACTTCTGCTAAGCCCTGCCCTCTGCGTGCCAGTCGCGCTTTGTAGTGTCTTCTGTATACTGGGAAGTCGTCGAAATTCCAGGCCGTCCGCGGACACGTGCCCGTGTGAATATTGAACTACACGTGCTCCAACAACAACATATGTTAACAACTTGATGATCGTTTTGCAAATCTCATCCGAATCCCCTCGTGGAGCGACACGTTCGTCCCAAACTGGCGTGTTGTAGCCATGATTGCACAAGTGGCCTTTTGCTTACCCGACACCTTTTATCAATAATTCCGTTCTGCATGGTGCGGCTGTAAGTGAAATGCGTGTCTCCGCCGCCCCACCACTCAGTGTCCCCGCCACCCCACCACTCTTGACTTCGGTCACCCCCATCGCAGAAGGATCAGTCAACCTAGTCAAGCATCTCGACTCCAAAATTCCTGAAGGCTTTAATCACCTGTCTCATTGATGACATCGCCCTCGTCCAACATCTCATTCAAACCCTTCCTGGATGCCCTTGAAGGCTGCACTATCACCACCCCCGGGTGCCTTTCCTCCCCCTCCACGTTCAAGTCCTCCTTCCTTTTTTCTTGTTCCTGGACGCCCTCAATGTCCCACCACTTCGTGCTTCGCGACGCCATTCGCCAACTGTGGTAGATCGTCATTCGTGATGGTGTCCCCTGTAAACTATCTGACATCCACCTTCACACCCTCGAACTCGGTCTAGACATTCACCATCTGCGCCATGGCTCTCCCGTTCGCGTCACTAGATATCTGGATGTCTGGACTGTTGGCACCAAGAAACCATCAGGGCAACCCAAGGTCCACTGGGCACCGCCGCCGCCGCAGTATGCCTCTAGTCACCTCAGTACGCATGCGCACGCCACAGTATGCCAGTGAATGCCACGGTGGTAAGTGAGCACCAAAGCATGCAAACTGCGCGTGTCCACCACAAGCTGTGGAGGGGGGAAGCACCCCCCCCGTGCGATCGTGGCAGTGAGTCCCTAGGAATGGGAAACTACACTCCTACTGGCTGCTGCAGCTGCGGCTTATCCTCATCCTCCTCCATCTCCTCCTCCTCAACACCACCAACAGCGGCATCACCATCACCATCACCATCTTCGTCACCACCACCACCATCATCATCATCAGCATCATCGTTATCGTCATCGTCGTAGTCATCATCATCATCACCACCATCATCATCATAATCACCCACCGACATCACAACCACCATCATCATCAGCAGCAGCATCAGCATCAGCATCAGCATCAGCATCATCATCAACACCATCATCATTACCCATCATCAGCATCACCCATCATGATCGCCCATCATCAACACCCATCACCATCACCCATCATCATCGCAGCCACCACAATCATCATCAACGCCATCATCATCAGCATCATCATCAGCATCATGATAGTCATCATCAGCAACATGAAACTAAGCATCAGCATCAGCATCATCAATATCATCAGTCGCATCAGCATCACAGCAGTCATCATCATCATCATCATCATCATTATCACCATCATCGTCATCATCGTCATCATCATCATCAGCATCATCATCTTCAGCATCACCACCGTCATCATCAGAGTCATCATCAGCAACATCATAATCAACATCATGACCAACATGTCTAACTAATCCCCCCTTCTCTTCTCCCCCTCCCCCTCCTCCTCCTCCTCTTCCTCCTCCTCTTCTTCTTCTTCTTCTTCCTCCTTCTCCTCCTCCTCCTCCTCCTCCTCCTCCTCCCCCGCGCCGCGAGCGTCCTCGGGCGTCATGGCCGAGATGATGGTGCAGTAAGTCTTGCAGGGCGGCGCGCGCGCGCTCCACCGGCTCGCCCCCGCCCCCTTTCAGGAAGGGAGGGTCGGTGCACGTCGGTCGTAAGAAGTACGAACAAAAACCTGGAGTGGGAAGGCGTATCGAGTGGATTGGGCTCAGGCCCTCCCAGAGAATGACAAAACGCAGCAGCAAAGTCGGGAGGCGCTGGACATAGATGGAGAGCTTGGAATCCACAAATGCCTACCTTCAACGACTGTCGTGTATGGCTCGGATTCGAGGGCTCGGCGCACTACCCAGCGCCTGCCCCTACTACCCTTGTGGATCGATTTGTCTTCGACGGCTGTCGGCATTTCTGATGCCTCCGCGAGGCTCCTCGCGGCCACACCGCTGTCCCCCTCGACGTTCGGGCCGGAGCGCACCCAAGGAGAGGTCAGGAGATCAGTCACGCCCGCCAAACCCAGACATTCAACGGCTTGCGCAAAGCTAAGACGGATACGCATCGCCGTTCTCGGCCCCCTGGGGGCCAGCATCGGGCACCGAGTGGCCGTCCGGAGAAGCCCCTGAATGAAAAGCCAGTCCTGGGGAAAGCGTCGGGGCTTCCGCGGACCTCGCAGTGGAAAAACTCACGGCATCGCTCCCGGCGTGAGGTTTCCGATGCGCGGCCCCGATGCCCCTATGCAGCAGGCCCGAGCAGAGGCCCTGAAGAGGCCGATACCGCCGAGGAACCACGCCGGGACTACAGAAACATCTCGTCGGAGATGTTCAGGGGCGTCCGAGAGGGGGGCGTCAAAGAAGGGGAGGGGGCGCAAATCATGGCCTGCGGCAGGAGCGCGGCCCAGGGGGTGCCGGGGACAGATCGACATACCTATACGAGCACCCTTCGGGTGATGAGGAGGCTCGGGGGGGGTAGAAACCAACGTCTCACTCGATCGGTCTCACTATCGATCTCACTATCGATCTCACTATCGGTCTTACAATCGATCTATCTCATTCGATCGATCACACAATCGATCTGACTATCGATCTCACAATCGATCTCACAATCGATCTCACTATCGATCTCACAGTCGGTCTCACTATCCATCACACGATCGATATCACAATCGATCTCACAAGCAACGTCATCATCATCATCATCATCATCGTCATCATCAACATCATCGTCACCAACGTCATGACCATCATCATCATCGGGACACCGTAATCGTCATCATCAACTTATCACCATCATCATCATAATCATCATCATCATCACCATCACCATAACACCATCATCGTCACCATTATCATCATCAACATCATCATCATCGGGACACTATCATCATCATCATCATCATTATCATCATCATCATCATCATCAGCAGCAGCATCAGCATCATCATCATCATCATCATCATCATCATCATCATCATCATCATCATCATCATCATCATCGGGACACCACCATCATCATCTCATCAACATCATGAACAGCATCAACAACATCATCAACATCATCATCATCATCATCGGGACACCATCATCATCGTCACAATCATCATCATCACCATCATCATCGGGACACCATCATCATCAACAACATCAACATCATCACCATCATCGAGCCACCATCATCAAAATCATCCTCATCACCTCATCATCATCATCATCGGGACACCATCATCGATATCATCATCAACATCATCACCATCGGGAAACCATCATCATTACAACCATCATCATTACCATCATACTCATCATCATCATCAACAGCATCATCATCATCATACTCATCATCATCATCGGGACACCATCATCATCATCATCACCATCTCATAATCTCATCATTATCCACTTCATCCAGATCATCCACATCATCATCATCATCATCTGGTCTCCATGATCATCAGCACCATCACCATCATCAGCATCATCATCAACCTCATCATCATCAACATCGTCATCGGGACACCATCATCATCAGCATCATCTTCATCATCATCATAACCTCATCATCCTCAACCTCATCAGGATCATCAACATCATCATAATCATCGGGACGCAATCATCATCATCATCAACAACATCATCATCAACATCATTCTCATCATCATCATGGGGACACCATCATCATCACCACCATCACCATCACCATCATCATCAAAATCGTCATCATCATCATCATCACCATCGTGACTCCATCATCATCAACACCATCACCATCATCACCATCATCATCAAGATCATCGACATCATCATCATCATCAAACACATCATCATCATCATCATCATCATCATCATCATCATCATCATCATCATCATCATCATCATCATCATCATCATCATCATCGGGACACCGACGGGACACCGGCGGGACACCGGCAGGACATCGCGGGCTACCGGACGCCGGTCCGGAATCATTTGGTCCGGCCGCGCCTCAGCCGGAGGCGGGACACCGGCGGGACACCGCGGGCCACCGGACGCCGGTCTGGAATCATTTGGTCCGGCCGCGCCTCAGCTGGAGGCGGGACACCGGCGGGACACCGCGGGCCACCAGACGCCGGTCCGGAATCATTTGGTCTGGCCGCGCCTCAGCTACAGGAAACTTTCTTCTCGCCCGCCCACGCAGCTTCGCCTCGCCCGCATGCACGGCACGCACGAGCACGAAACCGGAATCGATTTCCCGGTCAGGGGGCTCTCCGTTCCACCTCGATCTCACCCCTTCACCTCCGATCGTTAGGAAGAGGCGCCACAGAATCTGGAGAGATCTCCTGGCCCCCCCCCATGTTGTCCACACACCCCTGTCACCACCCCCCTCGGCCGCCCCCGAGATGTGGAATGGAGCACAAATCAAGACGTCGAACAGCCGGGCATGATGTGTGCTGTGGGCTCTCCGGGTGTGGGGGGGGGGGGGGGGGCGGCCCTCTCCACACGCGCGCCTGCATCGGGCGCCCCGGGCGCCGCGGCAGGGGCCTGCAGAGCAACTCCGCAGAGACATCCGATGTCTTGATGTCTTGCTCGCGCTAGAATATCTGTTCTCCCTCGTCCGCAGCCCCCCGCCTTGTTCTCTCTTCTTTCCTCCATTGTTCGTCTTCCTCCACGTCCTCCTCCTCTCCTTGATCCTCCTCCACGTCCTCCTCCTCTCCTTGATCCTCCTCCTCTCCTTGATCCTCCTCTCCTTGATCCTTCTCCCTCCTCTCTCCCTCCTCCTCTCCTTGATCCTCTCCTCCTTGATCCTCCTCTCCCTGCTTTCGAGACGCACCCGCCCGCCACCTTCACGCGCCCCTTCGCTCTGCTTCTCCCAAGACCTCCTGCGTCTTCGCGCTCTCGAGTCGCTGGCCCGTGGCCCTCCCGACCCACTCCCGAGGACCAATCTCCCGGAAGTCCCAACCCCTTCCTCGGGGGCGTCCAAAGAGCGGGGCGTCCAAGAAGGGTAGGGGGGGGGCGCAAATCATGGCTGGCGGCATGTTACGCGGCCCCCGGGGGGGGAGGGGGAAGGGGAGACGGGAACGTATTGGAATAAGAAGAGGCACCATGGAATCAGGGGAGATATCCTGGCCCCCGCCATGACCTCCCCCCCGCCGTAGTCATCCCCCCCCTCTTGGCCGCCCCCAACTTCCCCAGGGCCGGCTTGTTTTTAGACGGCGTGGCGTCGTCGACGGCCAGGGGACCGCAAGTGGCCCCTCCCTCGCGGCCGGGAGCACTGAAACACCGCTCCGTGTGGATGTTTTGCCACGACGTTGGACACTGGGTCTCTCCCCTGCCAGTGGCTCAACGGCGGAAGACTGCGGGCCTTCCAACTTGGGTTGGAGGATCGCGCGCCGCATCGGCGATGCACCAGCCATGCGGAGCCTCGCGATGGGGGAAGCCAGATCAGAAGTGCTCGCAGAAGCTGGCAGATCCACGCACGGTAGTATGAATGTAGATGTCTTTGGCCAATGTTTGGTAACAAGGGGAAGAAGGTGGAAGACCGGAATAAACCGAAGATGTTTCAACAACGTTGCAATACACCCTCCCGTCCCAAATCGCCTCCACACACGTCTCCCTGAACACCAAGGCAATCGGCACTGGCCCTATGGCGAGGGTCCCGCTTTGACAGAGAACTGCCTTGCATCCTTCTGTCGCGGAACCAAAGCAATGAGGTGCCAAAATAATCCCCCTTTCGAGAGAGGACCGCCCCCCGAATCCGTGTAACTGTTGAACCCGCTTACACGTGCTAGCATGAATCCCCAAGACGTCTCAGCCGAGCCCTCCCTGTAGAAGAAGAGTCGCCCTTCATCCCTGAGGTGCTGCGAGTCTTGATGACTCGGGTAAATAAGCATAACGAGGATTCGACTTGCCGTCGCTCAGACGTCCATTTCCCGTGCATTGTTCGGTTTCGTGCGTGTTTTTGTGATCGATGGTCCAGGATGGTCCTCGATGGTTCTCGCCGAGAAAAAATGCACACGTCCGAGCGATGCCAAGTCGAGCGCGCGAACATAATTTTGAAGAAACACTGTCGTCCATCATTCCCAACGTGCGTTCAGAACCTTACTGTGTGTGGCGCGGTGGCGAATCCCATGTTGAAAATGACCAGTGTCCAATCCGCGAAGCTGCTGCAAGATATTGGGCCGAACGCGCGCGGCGCAAAGGCGAGAGCACCATGTTAAAAAAGGAAGTGCCCTCGATCCTTCAAACCAGCGCAAACTGTTACAACGAATGTGCGCGGCGCTATGCCGATGCAAACGCGCGGCGCTGAAGCAAGAACACCATGTCGATAACGACCCAGTTTGAAAATGGCTTGCGTCCAGCCATTGCAACTGCTGCGAGCGTGTGAAACGAATGTGCGCGGTCAACCTTACGAAAACGAGCCACCCTCCATCCTTGAAGCTGCTGCAAACTTTGAGACGAATGTCAGCGGCGCTGCGGCGAGAGCCACATTTTGACAGCGAGAGCCACATGTTGCAAGCGGCATGTGTTCCATATTTGTAGCTGTTGCACATTGTTTCAGACAACTTTGCGCGTCGCTACGGCGAAAGCCACAAGTGAGGAACCATTCTCGAGTTGACAACGTCTAAAGCGAATGTGCGTGGCGCTAAGACGGGAGCATCATTTGAAAGCCACACGCCCTCCACCTCTGAATCTGCTCCACAGATCAAGCTCCAAGACCCTCAATGATCAGACAATTTCCGGCAACACGACCGACCCGCCCAACCGACAAGTCGAGTGACGATCGAGGGGTGGGGGGTTATCCCACCAGCCCTCTGAGCGCAAGTGGACTAGAGCGTTTCCGTGTCCAACCTCCTTCCTTTCCCTGCTCGGGAGGTTGACCTCCCCCCCCTTCCCTGCGTCTGGACGGGCTCCCCCGCGAGGTGCCAGAGGGCCCTTTTCGGCCCAAGATGGCTCCAAGAGGGCTTCAGAAAGTGCGAGATGGCCTCCAAGATGGCCCAGGATAGCGGTAGATGGGTCAAGATAGCCTCCGACACACATCCAAGAGGCCTCAAGGCGGCCCCAAGACGGTTTCAAGTGCCCTCCGAAACCTCCGAGGACTCCCCGAATAGGCCCAAATCCTTCAAACACGCCTCCGATGGGCTCTTGAGGCCGCAGGATGGCCCCACGACGGCCCAAGATAGTCCCACGAGGGCCCCAGAGGGCCCCAAGATGGCCCCAAGAGCGCGTCAAGAGCGGCCCAAGGGGGCCCCAAGACGGCATGGTTGAGCCTCCGAGGGGGCGATGGGAATTAGAACCCCCCCAATTTGTTGATCAGTGCGGCCTAAGACGGCCCCAAGAGGCCTCCCAGCCCAACCAAAAGAGCCCCAAGAAGGCCCCCTGACCCTCCAAAACGGCCCCAAGAGGACCCCAAGACGCCCCAAAAGAGCCCCAAGAGGGCTCCAAGGAGGCTCTCAGATGACCTCGAGAGAGCCCCAAGAAAGAGGTCCAGGAGGGCCCCAACAGGGCTCCAAGAGAACCCCAAGAGAGCCCCAAGATGGCTCCAAGTTTCGAAACTCACGCGAGCTTAAGATACAAATCGGTGCAACAGCCATTACGAGTCATCGAAACACCCCTCACCCCTCATCGAAGCACCATCGTAGCTTGCACTGATTTCCATCTTCAACTAAATGCGGGTAGCTATTTGTGACCCTTGTTTTCCCGAAGACGGCTGCGCGACTGCATGCGTCCTGCCGCCCCTGATTCACCAACTCCCCTGCTGATCGTTTCTGGATGGGCTGGTGGGGATACTTTTTTGTCAGCAGCCGCGCGCGAAAGCGCACACGGCGAGTCGAGTCAGAGCGGGCCGCGCAAAGACGAATTAACTAAAACTGCGCGGCCTCAGGCGTCACCGCGGCGGGCGGGACCGGCGGGTGGGGGTGCAAGCTGCGGCCGCCAGGGGCTGAGCCAGGGCAGGGCGCAAATTGGCCAACCTGGGTTGGGGCGCGGCCAAAATTGCGTGGGGTGCATACCAGGGTGGGGCCAGGGAAGCGGCAAGCTAGTGTCTGCGACGACTGCAAAGCGTGCCGAACGGCCCGAACTGGTGCATTGAGTGGCGCCACCAAAGTCGCGCACTCGGTCCCCAAAGGGAAGCACTGATCCTGAGGAGTCCGTCCGCGAGGTTACCCAGGGACGGGCAAGTGGCCAGGGACACAGTGGAGGTACTCGACACCGTAAACTTCCGCACCACTGGACCAGGAGGCCACGCGCACTCTCGAACTGGAGCCGGCGGCTGAGGGCTGCTGAAACGACAAGGCCCACACCTCAAATCCGGGTCGAGGTAGCAAGAGATGCCGTGGCCGCAGCCGTCAAGGACCACGGCATAGATCAACACGGTCGGCCGACAGCCGAGGGCGCACAGGCTGAAACACGTGCACACAAGAGCCCAAGGTGCCCCAGGGGAGGAGCCGCTGGAGTAGGAGGCGGAGGGGGCGGGGCGGACGGGGCCGTCGAGCCGCGCAGCCGCCGATGCGGGGAGGGGCCAAGGAGGTCGCCCAGCCGCGGGGGGGGGGCCGTGCCCGCGCGGTGGAGACGACGGGGCGCGGAGGTGGAGAGCGCACCGCTGGCGGCGAAAACAACTGCAGTATGGCCGGAAGCCGAAGGGGACAGGTGGACCACGGCCCCAGCGGTAGTCCACGAGCCAGTATTTGAAGGGGCCCCAGGACACACAAATAAATACACACAAATAAAAATATTCCTATATTTTCCCATATTTTCTAGGTTTTCGTCTTCCCCCCCACTTCCCATATTTTCCCATATTTTCCTGGGAGTCGACGATTAATTGTGTCTGTGTGTTTCTTTCCCTCCTGAGTATTGTCAGCTGGCCGCTGCCCGTACCGCAAAGACAGGGGACAGCGGGAGCTGGGCAGATAGCGCTACCAGGGGGTGGCTAACGGCCACTCGTTGCTGATGGCAGAGGGAACGAACCCGAGTGTGGCCCACTGCGACCCACTGACTGGTGGGGGATACCCGAAGCGTCAAGAATTCAGAAGGGGAAGTGGTAACCTCGAGCGGGGAAGGGGGGAAGGCGTTGGTGGGAGCCCCAGCATGCGCCTCCAGCTTCTTCTCGCTCTCGTCTCCCTGCGCCATGCCCATGGCGCCCTCCAGCTTGTCAAGACCTCCGATGCGAGGCGAATTCGGAGGAGAAAAAAGCATCCACTTTGGGAGGTCCGCGAGCGCTTTTCGGGCGGCGCTGGACACTTTCCCTGGCCAAAGGGGCCCCAACGCCGACTCCTTCCCGACACCTTCCCCCGTGATAGTTCTTCGGCCTGGGTCAACGTTCGATGGTCCTCGGGCCCCCTCCTCCTCCCCACCCTCATGAGAAGCACCCCGGCAAGCGAAGCCACCTGGTAAACGCACCCAAGGAAGGAATCGACCTGTGCAGGGCCGGTCACCAAACGCTCAGGGCCGTTCAGTGAACGGCAATTATCGGGGTCGGGCTGGATGTTCCTCCCGTGGTCTTCGACCTCCTCTTCAGCTCGTCGCCCTTCGTCTTCGTTTCCCCCCCGGTCTCCGTCCCCCCCTGGTCGTCGTCCTCCCCTGGTCTTCGTCATCCTCGCCTTGCCGCCCCTCCTCTTCAGCTCGTCTCCCCCGGGGAGTGGGGCGGGCGCACAGACGGGCCCGAGCAGGAGAAGCAGGCAGGGAGGAGGGGGTAGGAGGAGGAGCGAGGAGGAGCGAGCAAGCAGGAGGAGCAAGGGGAACGAGGATGAGCGAGGAGCAAGCAGCGAAGAGCGAGGAGGAGGAGCGAGGAAGAGCGAGGAGGAGCGAGCGAGGAGGAGGAAGGCTGTCTCCCTCCTTCCCGCCCGCCGCCGCTGGCGACGTCCTCCCTGAGCCTGCCGCCACTTGGCAGCCGCTCGCGCTTCCTCCCCGTCTTCCACCCGTCCCACCCCCTGATCCATCCTCCTCCCTCCTTCTCCACCCTCTCCTCCTTTTCCATCCCCCGCCCCCTGACGTTGCTAGCTCTATGGTTGGTGTCCAACGTCCCCGACCCCTCCTCCTCCTCCTCCTCCTCCTCCTCCTCCTCCTCCTCCTGCTCCTGCTCCTGCTCCTGCTCCTGCTCATCCTCCTCCTGCACCCCCCCTTCCTCGCCTTTCCCATCCTCATCATTCTCTCCGTTCCCCCGCACCTTTCCCTCCCCCCTCCACCGCTCCCACCCAACCCCTCCTCGTCCCCCTCCTCTCCATCCTCCTGCATTCATATACCCCGACTTGGGCGGACAAACGGCCACAGCCTCTGTCCTACTCCTCCTCGTGCTCCTCTTCCTGCCCTTGGACGCACCCTCCCCCATCCTCGACCCATCCCTCCTCCTCCTCCCTCCTCCTTCCTCCTCCTCCTCCTCCTCCTCCTCCTCCTCCTCTCCCCTCGTCCTTCTCTTTCTCCTCCTTCTTGCCATCATCATCAGCATCATTATCAACATCATCATCACCATCATCATCATCAGCAGCATCATCCTCCTCATCATCAGCAGCATCATCATCAGCATATCATCATCAGCAGCAGCAGCAGCATCAGCATCAGCACCATCATCACAACCAGCATCATCACCACCACTATCACCATCACAGTCATCATCATCGTCGTCATAATCAGCATCAGCATCATCATGATCATCAACATCATCATTATCATCATCAGCAGCATCATCATCAGCACCAGGATCATCATCAGCAGCATCATCGTCATAATCACCATCATCAGCAACGTCATCCTCATCGTCCCTGCTCCTCCTCCTCCTCCTCCGCCTCCTCCTCCTCCTCCTCCATCTCCTCCTCCTCCTCCTCCTCCTCCTCCTCCTCCTCCTCCCCCTCCTCCTCCTCCTCCTCCTTCCCCTCCTCTTACCCCTCCAGGGTGGGCGCTGCGCAGCACGCCCCCCCCCCTCGGGGGGCTTTCCCCTTCTCTCGTTGCGCCGCCGCTGCCTCGAAACCACGCCGTGCGGTCTCTCTCCCCTCTGGGGCCCCGGGCCCCGCGCGCGGGCCTCGCCGGCGCCTCGAGCCTCGAGGCCTCCTCCCCCCCTTGCGCCGCCGCCTCCTCCCGCAGCGGTGGCGCGGACGTCTCTGTCCCCGGTGTCTCGGTTCGTGTCCCTCGGGGTGTCGTGTCCTTTCTTGTCGCCTCGGAGGTGCTTATGTTTCCCGTCGAGTCTCCTCTTATCAGTCTGCTTCTTCTTCTTCTTCCCCTTCGGAAGTTTGGTACTCTCTCCCGCGGGGGCGGGGGAGTGCTCCCTCGGGGGGGGGGGGTTGCTGAGGGGCAGGGGCCTGGGTCCAATCTCGTCCAAACTGCGCTTCGAACACACGGCCTGCCCAATGATTGCTTCGCAACCCGCTGCATTTGACCTTCAGTCGTGTACCGTGTACGCGACACAGGCCTGGCTGACACGAGCGAAACTTCAGTCACTGAAGCCTGATGAGGCAGCGATGCTCCAGCTCCCACAAGTTAGCGGGATATACATGCAGCAGTCTAGAACACATTCCAGGAACAGGCTTTGCAACTGATCTGGATCCTCGCAAGCAATGGGGGCACTGACCAACCCGACCAGCCCAACTCCATCCATGCGGTCGCCCTGGATCCTACAACATCGGTGGCGGAACCCCGTGTTCGCCGCAAACCGAGTGACAGCGCGAACAACAGAGCACGAAACATCAATCCCAACAATCTCGGCGGCGGACATTTTGGGATACATCATGGCGCCTTCTTTGGCCTGCAATGCCAACAATCGTGTTACTAACGATGCGCAACCGATCGGGCAAAGGTAAGGCCAAACCGTCTTCCGGGCGAGCCCAAACTTTCGATACCCCTGGGAGAAAGTCATGGGCGAAAGCGTCCGTCTGCGTCGCAAGCCCGCTGTAGGGCCTATTCGGACGCAGACGGTCCCGAGCGTTTCTGGAACAATCGTTGGCGACAGCCTGGCAGTCCGAACAAAAAAGTCCGCCTGGGCTCCGAGGAACGAACCAGAGCCATCACAGGGCGACGAACTCAACAGCCGCGCTGGTCGGAAGGTGGAACTCTCCAAGGGGCCAGGGACTTCTAGCCATGGGTTACCAGCCTGGAAAATATCCCTAATCACGATGCCAATCTCAGGGATTCCCTTATTCCTTGAGGGCGCATCCCTAAGATTGTCATCGCCTTTTGGCGTGTCAATCTTAGGGATAGGGATACGTTCGAGGCTGGTAAATGGGCCAGACCACGAGGGTTTAGGGCTCAAGGGTCAGCCCCGGCCCGAACGGGTGAGATCTTTGCCAACGGGCCTGAGGCGCGAGCCGTCACCGCCCGCTCGCCCGCTAGTCGGATGGTGGAAATCTCCAAGGGGCCAGGGACTTCTAGCCGTGGCCGCCAGACCGCGAGGGCTCAGGGCTCAGGGTTCAGCCCCGGCCCGAACGGGTGAGATTTTTGCAAAACGGACCTGAGGCACGAGCCGCCACCGCACGCTCTCCCCGACGGCGCCCTCTCGCCCCTGGGTCGGACGGAGGCAGCGTCCTCTTCGGCGAAAGCCCCGGGGGGTGGCATTCGAAGAAGAGGAAGAGGAGGAAGGAGGAGGAGGAGGAGGAGCAGGGAGGAGGAGGAGGAGGAGGAGGAGGAAAGAGGAGGAGGAGGGAGGCGGAGGAGGAGGAGGAGGGAGGAGGAGGAGAAGGAGGAGGAGCCCTGGGGGTGGCATTGGAACTGCACGGCCTGCGCAGCTTCCTGCTGAGTGGGCGGCGGGGGGGCGCCGGGTGCTGAAACAGGCCTGTCTCACACAAGAACTCAAGACCAGGGGGACGGCCCGACAACTGCGCGCGGACTCTGGCCAGCAAGTCACAGCCGACAATGCTGACTCGTTCCTCTCCACACGCTGGGCGATGCCAGAGACGGTGGCGCAGGGCGTCTCCGGCCTGCCCACCAAGAGAGCACACATCGCCAAGAAGATGACCTTTGACCACGGCCCTGCTGGTAGGCCACAGAGCACGGCGCGGCACGGCGCGGACCCCGCCCGCCAAGGAGCCAACGCTGAAGCCTTGGCCGCTCGACGGCCGATGGCAGGGCGCCGCTCGGCAAGGCGGCGGGCCCCGAGACAGGAGGCGCTGTGGGCCCAGCCTTCGCCTGGGCGCCTCGACGGCGGATCCCCCGCGGAGTGGCCCCGCCGTCGCAGCCACTTTGGCCCCAGAAGGGCCCCAAACTCATCCTGAAGCTGGCCATCGCTCGGACGTCCATCTCCTGTGTTTTGTTCGGTTTCGTGCGTGGTCTTTTCGCGAAGTGATCAAGGATGCTCCTCGATGGTCCTCGCCGAAGGAAAAACTGCACACGTCCGAGCGATGCCAGGGAAGGCGGGAAGGCGAAACCGTGGAGGACGAAACACAAGCACCCTTGTCCGTGGAAATCTGAGCCTGCATCACATCGGCGATAGAGCATCTCTCCAATGGTCGGCGGCCGGGGCCGAACTAGGCACGACGTGGGAAACAATGCCGTCACAATTAAAGCCCGAATCATTGATGTAAATGCCCAGGGTTCTTCTGGGACCTAGCACAACCGAGTCAAACGTCTCAATACCAAACGCTTTGATCATGGACGTAGCCAAACTACATCCCGCTGCAACTCCGAACTCAGCAGGAACCACAACTCCGCACAAGACAATCATCGAGCCGAACGATAATCCCACAAACGCACGCCGAGCTAGACCGGGTGAACGTTAAACCTGCGACCGCGCTGCTCGACCAACACTAACGGAATTTGTTGTCATGCTTCAACATCTCCCAGAACAGCCCCCTCTGAGCTCGGCCGAGAGATCGTGCTGGTCTCTGCTTTCACAGCCTGACGCCACACCGCGTCCGTGGCCGGGCGAAGCTTCCCACCAGTCCAGGAGCCGATGACTCCAACACTAAGCACATGTGCGCCAAGCACTCGAGTCAGGCGTCGGACAAGTACTGGCAGCGCCTCTTATGGGACCCGTCCAGCCCCAACGCCGAGGGCCTCGGAAATTAGCCTGACGAAGAACCCAACCACCTGCAGCTGCATATACCGCATTGTAAATACCGCTTTCGGTGGAGCTCCTTATGGGGCCGCGAGCCGTGTATGGGGTGTGCCGAACTGGGTGCGGTGGTGCCCTGCGAACCCTCCCACTGAAACCTTCGGAGGAACTCCCTATGGGGCCAAGAACCGTGTGAAAGGTGTGCCGCATTGGGCGCGGTGGTGGCATGCGAACCCTCCCACTAGAGAGCTTTCGGCGGATCTCCCTTCGGGGCCACGCATCGTGTGAGGGGTGTGCCGAATTGGGGAGGTGTTGCCATGCGAACCCTCCCACTGAAACCTTCGGTGGGGCTCCCTATGGGCCACGAACCGTGTGAAAGGTGTGCCGCATTGGGCACGGTGGTGGCATGCAAACCCTCCCACTGGAACCTTCGGTCGAACTCCCTATAGGGCCACGAAGCGTGTGAAGGGTGTGCCGAAATGGGCGCGCTGGTGCCATGCGAACCCTCACACTGGAAATTCGGTGGAGCTCCTTATGTGGCCACGAACCGTGTGAAGGGTGTACCAACTTGTGCGCGATGGTGCCATGCGAACCCTCCCCCTGGGGCCTCCGGTTGAGCTACCTATGGGGCCACGAACCGTGTGTGGGGTGTGCTGGTTGGCGCGGTGCTGCCATGCGAACCCTCCCGCTGGGGCACTAGGTGGACTCACAATGGGGCCACGAAGCGTGAGGGGGGTGCCGACTCAGGCGCGGTGGTGCCATGCGAACCCTTCCGCTGGGGCCTTCGGTGGACCTCCCAATGGGGCCACGAAGCGTGTGAGGGTGTGCAAAATTGGGCGCGCTGTTGCCATGCGAACCTTCCCACTGGGGCTTTCGATTGAACCCCATATGGGGCCACGAACCGTGTGAGGGCGTGGAAAAGTGCCGCGTACTCACCTTGGCTTTAACAGACGGCAGGCAACGGATCGTTGGGAGCATTGGCCACAGCAAAGAAAGCTAGGGAAGAGGCATGCGCCTCAGCCAGTCTGAGGACAACTTGGCTTTCATATGTTGTGAAACCACCGAATGCTATGCCGCACATCGAGGCAAATGGCGCCGCGGTCGCGCCCAAAGAAAGAACGCCACCACAAAGACTCACCTTTTTCCCGTGAGCTCCAGAGAATGGGACGGATATGACCATGGCATTACAAGCACCTTCTCCGAACCCACTGCGTGTACGCCGCAAACGCATGTCGTCCCCCAACACAGGATTGGTCGGAATTGGTTTGCATAATATGGTTGTCCCATCCGATCGTTTTCGTGTGTTTCAAAATGACGCTTCCGTTCCTGAAGGTCGGCGCTCTGTTTCTGTCGTTCAACTCGGCGTTTTCGCCCCAGCGTGGGCCCCGTTTCTGAATCCGGATCCTTCCTCATCGTCGTCACCATCCCCCATGACCTCCTCCGCAAACCTCCAATCCTGGTGTTCCGCCCGCTCCTTCCACTCCAACTCCTGCTGCTACTGGTCGTCCTCGTTTTCCTCCTCGTCCTCCTCCTCTTCCTCCATTTCATCCCCCTCGTCGTCGTGCTCATCCGCGACTTCCTACTCTTCCAACGTACGCAACGTTCAGTTTCCGACTGCGCATATATACCACCATGGGGCCAAGGTGTGAATGTCGTGTCCATTACGAAGTGAGGCAACACTCGGAACAGTGGGACGGGTGGGAGGTTGGGTAAAATGTCGGACATGGCGAGAGCGGACGTGGCGCTCGCGGAGTTCTGGAGTTCCAGGTCCACATTGGCGCGCGTCCGCGGAGAGAGGAGACGATCAGCGCAGCGGGATGGGGCTTTGGACGCCCGAAATGGGTACCGAAAGAATGGGTACAATGCCCAACAACAAGTGTTGTCCCAAACCAACAGCGGCCGCTGTTGGGCGGGCGGCCTCCTGTCTCGAACGGACACAGGCCGCGGCGGCGTGGACAGCGGATCTTGTTCAAAATGAACAAGAACTGCTGTTGGGCATCGTGCCCATTCTTTCGATACTCATTTCGGGCGTCCAGAGGGGCGATGGGGAGAGGCCCGATGCCAAATGCGGCGCGAATCGATCTTCCCCACCGCTGCTTCAGCGCCCCTCAAACGGGGACTCCACTAACGGGTACTTTGGCCAGTGACCCAGCGAACCCAACCCTTCCCGATGTAGGCAAAGCTGCAATGCAAAAAAAGACCCTGAAGTGGCAACTTTCGGCAAACATTCAAAGTACCCGTTAGTAAGTACCCGTTACGGTGCCGTTGACTGCTATTCTTCCTCCTTCCCCCGGCCTTGGACGCTGCTCAAGGTCGTCGCGAGGCCCCCGATGCCGCCTGGCGGGGGGCGGTGGGCGGCCGCGCGCCCACGTCCTCCTCCTCCTCCCTCCTCCTCCTCCTCCTCCTCCTCCTCCTCCCTCCCTCCTCCTCCTCCTCCTCCTCCTCCTCCCTCCTCCTCCTCCTCCTCCTCCTCCTCCTCCCTCCTCCTCCTCCTCCTCCCTCCTCCTCCTCCTCCTCCTCCTCCCTCCTCCTCCTCCTCCTCCTCCTCCTCCTCCTCCTCCTCCTCCTCCTCCTCCTCCTCCTCCTCCTCCTCCTCCTCACCCTCCTCTTTTTCATCCCGCTCTTGCTCGGTCTCTCTCTTGGGCCAGCCCAGTGCGTCGGTGATTCCTGCCTCTGGCGTCATGGCGATCTGCCTTCCTCATCATTGACGCTTCCCCTGTCTCTTGGCGGTGGCGCACTTGCTTGGCTCCAGGTCTACAGCGCCAGCTGCCCAATGCGGCTGGATCGGTACCGAGCACGCCCAGCGCGAAGCCGCCGTCGCGCAAATGAGACACTCCTGCTCCTCAGAACGGGGAAGGCGGGGAGGAGGGGGGAGTTTCGGGCTTCGAAGACGAGGATTTACCCTCGCACTGCGAGGAACAGAGGGGGCTTTTGCATGTGGCTAGTCTGTTTGGCCCCGGACGAGGCTCACGGTGGGCAGGGCTGAGATACTCTGCTGATTCTGGTCAGAATGCACCGCAGAACAAGTCCAGGGGAACGGTTTTTGACCTCCAAGCCCAGATCTCCACCGCATTGAGACGGCGGCCTGGCGATTTTCTCGCCGTCGCCAGGCAACTCAATCTTCGAAAGACAAAAGATCAAAGGTCTGGGGATGAGGAGAAGATGTGACGGTGGTAGCTCCCTGGAGCCCGCTGCAACCTGAATCCTGAAGGTTCTGAGCATAAGTGCGCGAGGAGACTGCTGCGAGACTCGGCGACCGTGGCCTGGGCATACCGCACGCAGTGGGCAGCGACGCCAGCAGGCCAGGCCAAACGGACAGGTGCTGCAACGCAACGGCCCCCAGCACTGGTCTGCGGCACGCAGCCCGTTTCGATGACAGCGGGTCGTAAAGACAGGGGGGGGGCCTCCATGGGGGTTTTCAGGCGCTCTGCCTCCTCTGCCTCCTCCCTCCTTTGCATTCTCCCTCCCCATCTCCCCGCTACTTCCTCCTCCTCCACCTCGTCATCCGACCTCATGGGGGCAAGGCAGAGGGAGAGGGCGGGATGAGTGTTTTTTTGTTGTTGCGATGGGTATGAGTGTCGGAAGGGGCTCGGAGGGATAGGCTGCGGGCCCCATGTGTTCCCCACCCTAGACATCCGACATGGCCGCGGGGGGTGGGGCGAAATGGAGCGCACAAGCCGCTGCCAACACATCGCGTTCAGCCATCTGGGGGCCCACATCTGCCCGCACCCAAAGGTCACTCCAGCGAAAGGTTACTCTTACGTATAATCGACGCTTTCGTGGGCCCCAGACATCTCGACCCCTTCCATGGGGCCGGCTTTCCATCCCGAGTCGTGTGCGATGCCCCCCCGGCCCAGAGCTGGCCTCCTTTCTCCATATTCCCAAAAGACGGACAAACCAACCAGAACAGTGATGGTCCTGAAATCCACAGTCCTGCGTCGACCACGCCGCGCCGACAGCGTCGACGACGCCACGCAAGACAAATGTGATCAAAAAAACGTATGGCCCGTGTGGTGACAGTATGTCTGGACTCCACTTACATTGAAAACCAACCTTCGACAAAAAAAACACAATGTGAGCGTTTTCTTACTCGGCGTTGCGGCATTGGGCGGAAGGGGGAAACGGGGGGGGGATCTGGCTCCGGACCTCTGCTCAGCGCGACTGCTTGCAACAGCGCGTCCCATGGGAGAGGGAGTCCACCTGCTCGAAGCAGGCGCCAGAAGCAGCCAAGATCTACCCCACGGGGTGGGGGGGAGGAGGGGTGCGAGGGCCCGCGCCGACCGGCAAAGCAAGGAATAAGTAAACGACGACGACGCTGCTCGAGTCGCCGGGTGTCTGGGACATTCTTCCCTGCCACCTCCACAACAGCGGGGGGGCAGGCCGGGAGAGCCGGCCTTCGCTGCCCGATGGAGGATCCGCCGCCCGCCAGTCGCGCAGCGGACAGCGCAGAAGCTCCCGCCGGGTCGCTTTGGACGTGCAGCCCACGTCTTCGGAGTCAGACAGCGGACAGTTCGAAATACACAGGGCGAGCCCCCCCCCCCCCCCACACACAACACGATCGCAAGGCCCTGAAGAGGCCCGCACGAGGTCCCAAGACGCCCCTTGACTCATCCAACTGGGGCGCGACGGCCACCAGCAGCCCCCCCAAAGAAGCCCCACAAGAGCCCCACGAGCATCTCCGAGGCAGCTGAAACACGACCAAGACGCAGTGGGCCTCTGGACTTCCACGGCGAGCGCCACCCCCCAAACAAAAAACAACGCACAGCTTACTGGACCCCAGACGCCGGGAAAGTATGGGTGGAGGGAGGCGAAGAGGGCGCGGAGGCGAGCACACGGTCGACACCGCCAGCAGGGCGCAGGACTCGTCCGAGAGCGACCCCCGCTCCGGACACGAGGGAGACGTGCGGCACGAGGCCGGCGCACTGGCACAGCGAGGACCAGCTGCACGACGACAACTCTCGGCGCTGCGCTGACTCCTTGCGCTGGCGCCGGCCAGTGAGACCCATGAACAGACTGCGGGCAAGACTTGAGTCCCTATCCACTGCAGCTTGGAGTTTCGGGCTCCCTTCCCCAGAACCCCGAGGCGCACTGGATATGGATACGAATGTGGCCCCCCTAGAGGCTCGATGCTTGCCCACATCCAGTGCGCCGCGGCCTCGCGATGCCCCTTCCAAGAAAATCCCAAACGCACTGGATATGGATATAACTATTGCCCGCACAGAACCTGCATGGAACAACAGCTGCACGAAGCCACAATGATTCCTCGCGTTGGCGTCGACCCACCCCTCCATCATGGCGCGCGGAGCGCGCCAGGGGCAGCCGCCAGTGGGGGCCGACGCTGATCCAAGAAATTAGCGCGGACTTCCGAGCTTGCATGCTTACAGTCGGACGTGATTTCACGGGCCCTGGGACACACAAACAAATAGACACCAATGACATAATTCCCAATATGTTCCCCATATGTTCTGGGTGTTTGTTCTCCCCCCACTTCCCATATTTTTGGGGGATCGAAGATGAATTGTGTCTGTGTGTTTTTCTCCCTCCTGTGAGTGATCGGCGAGGACACGCGAGAGGACGCGAGACCCTTCCGGGGGCCACGCTGCCAGAGGCATGCAGGCGGCACGGGTCGCGACACACGGGGCGCCAGGGCATCCTCGAGTTGGCAGTGCCCCTGATGACTCTACAGGAGGAGGGAGGGAGGGAGGGAGGGAAGGAGCGAGGGAGGGAGGGAGGGAGGAGGGAGGGAGGGTGGAAGTGCTGATCGTGCCCAACTGCAGGAGGCGAGCGCCCACGCAGGTGCCCCACACCGTACGAGAGATCTTGCAGACGCCGGCGCGCGAAACGGCGGGGCGGCCCTTATTTTTCAGCAGCATGGTCATCTTCACGTAGTCGTTGAAGTCTGTCCTAGGATAGATGCGAGGGGCTAAAGTGACAAGCGAACTGCACCTCAAATGACCGACCCACGCGCCTTCCCCTCGCTCCCGCCTCTTTCGACAGAACATGGCCACACACAGGCAGGCAAAGAGAATGAGCTCCTCCGCCAAAGGCTCGGTGACTCCTGGTGATACCCAAAACGAGAAACATTCCAAGGCGGACAGCTAGCACGCTAAGAGCGCCAGGGTACCCCTTCCAAACTAGGGTTGTTCTGAATCCTCGCGTCAAGAGGACCAGGACAGCGTCCTTAGCCGACAAACCCGATACCCACTGGAGTATGACAGCGCGCAGGAGCATTCATAGAATCACGAGTATGCTGGCGAAGACACAGGAGGAGGATCAGGCGGGAGGCGAACGAGCTGGAGACACGGGAGAAACACGACCAGACAAGATTTAGAGGGCGAAACAGAGAGATAGAAAGAAAGGGGCAGCTCTGAATAGCACCAGAGGGTCGTGGGCGGGAAATGTGTCCATTATCAACGGCCTCGCGGGCCCAGCCCCTGGGCCGCGACCCCAGGGGCACGGGGCAAGTGCTCCGTGGATGCCTCGCGTGGCACGTACCCACGCGACCGCGAATCCACGCGGGCGCGCCCCGGACCTGGATGGAGGGGATGCGGATATCTCCGCCGCGAGTGAGAGGACACAGGGCCGATGAAACCGACAAATTGGTACTGGATGGAACGGAAGACTCCGAAGATGAGGGGAGACAGGAGGCCGACGAAAAATCGGCGGGGTGGGAATGGGATGACGACGGCTACGGCGCCGAAGCTGACGACGAAGAGCGGGCCAGCGCCATGCCCTTTTGCCATGTCTCTGACACTGTGAATTATGTTTCATGGCGCGGGCCCCAGGACACTCGACACGCTCTTCCCGCAAGGGCCCTCCGTCGCGGGCGTACTGCTGCTTTGCCCGAGGCCGAAGACGAAGTAGGGGGCGGCCAAGGGGGGGGGCGTCCAAGAAGGGGGGGACGCAAATCATGGCCGGCGGCACGTGCGCGGCCCAAGGGGGGGGGCATGGACGTCATGAAACAAGATGAGGCGCCATGAAATCGGAAAGATCATGGTCCACGCCGTGATTTCCCCCCAAGTCATCACCCCTCTCTTGGCCGCCCCCGAACTGCAGCAAAGAGCTGTAGCGACGAAGCCACATGCCGTGCGAACGGTGGCGTAGAGCTGCCCATTTTTCGCCGCGGCTTGCGCGGGCCGCCGGCGCGGCCGGCCGCAATGGAAAAACAAGGGCGCGCTTGCGCGCGCGAGAAGGCTACGCGCCAACGTCGGCGCAGACGACCTCGTTTCTACCCGCTGCTCAAAATGGACCCCATGTTTTGGAACTTCGGGGAAAAGCAACAACAACATACTACGTGCACCGAAGTTTCTGAAGGGGCCCTGGGACACACACACATAAATACACACAAATAAAAAGATCCCCCATAGTTTCCATATTTTTGGGATTTTCGTCTTCCCCCCCACTTCCCATATTTTCCTATATTTTCTGCGGGATCGACGATTAATTGGGTCTCTGTGTGTTTTTCTCCCTCCTGAATTTCTGAATGTCCGCGCAGGTTTCGCTTGTCGGCGCTGACCCCCCCCCCCTGACGGCGCCTCTGGCGCCACCCCTGGGCGCGCGCCGGGCACCCGGGGAAGGGGGATCCAGCGCTGACCGAAGACACCCGCGCAAACCTCCACGGCTGCGGCCGATGCTGTTTCCTCCTCCTCCTCCTCCTCCTCCATTCGTTGTATTTCGATCGCGATGCCAGGAATCACGCGCCTCGCACGCCACTGAGCGAACCCTCCCCCCCAAAAAAACGAAGCAGCTACCGGAACGGAGCGCCCACGGCAAGGCCGGACTTAGGACAGCAGGACCTCCTTCGAGATGATGGGGGGCCCTCCACCAGCTCACACCGAAGACCAGTCGAAGGTGCCCTCCCCCGGGATGCACAAGAACATCCAGCAACTGTTGCCGTCAGCGGCGAGACAGAGGCAGTCCGCTCCAGCGCGGGGCCAGTCGGGGCAACCGAAAGGGAAGTTGTCTGGCGAGAGAGAGAGAGAGAGAGAGAACAAACAAAACAAAAAAAAACGAGAGAAAGAGAGAGAGAAAGAGAGAGAACAAACAAAAAAAAGAGAAGCGAAGCCGAGGGCTGCCGCGCGAAGGGCGGAGGGGGAAAGGCGCCCAGACGTGGCAGAGCTCCGCGGTGAGCAGGCCGGGGCGACCAGCAGGGGGGCAGCGGGGGACCGCGGCAGCCGCCAGGGCGCACCCGCGAGCGCCACCAGGGGGCAGCGGCGATGGCGAGCAGGTAAAGAACCAGTCCAGGAGCCCGAGGACCGCCATCCTGGCCATCGCTCGGACGTCTACAGTCGGGGCGTTGACCTAAGGAACCCTAAATAAGGAACGAGGCCCCTTTTTTCCATAAGTTAAACTTCGATTTTCCATTGTAAGCCTAAGGAAAACCCAAGGCAAACTGTAAAACAATTAAAGAACACCGAGCCCCTCCCCAACGAACACGGTTCCTTCTTCAGCGCCCCGACTGTATTGCTCCTCGATGGCCCTCGCCGAAGGAAAAATGCACACGCCCGAGGGCCGCCAGCAGCAAAGCGTGCCGAGTCCACCAGTTGCACACCGGCGGAGCTGTGTCGCGGCCCAGGCGCAGCATGCGCAGCGGGGGCCAGGGGGGTAAGCATCCACCAAGGAAGGGGCCCTGGACACACGAATAAATACACACACAAATAACAGGATCCCCCATAAGTTCGCACATTTCCTGGGTGTCTGTCTTCCCCTCAGTTCCCCTATGTTTCAGTATTTTCTGGGGAATCGATTGTGTCTGTGTATTTTTGTCCCTCCTGAAGCAAACACAAAGAACTCGAGGAGACCCTCCCCGAACCGACCTCGACCTCGCACACCAGTCCGAGCGCGGCTGGCCAAGAGCGCCCGCGGCAGCACCACACGAGAGAGAGAATGGGCCGCAGACGGAGCGGGGTCCCGACCCCGGGGCCCTCCCCGGAGTCGCCTGCTTGACAGCCTGGGGGCCTGAGAAGGGCCCCCGGAGGCTGAACGCCCTACAGTCATCAGCCTGACCTAAGGAACGATAAATAAGGAACGAAGCCCCTTTTTATCCCAAGGAATAACGCATAAGGAACGATAAATAACAAATAACGCAGGAGGAACTGTAAATAACGCATGCAAGCCTGAGGAACGACCGAGCCCCTTTTGAAAAGTAAGTGTTCCTTATTCAAGCCACTCACTGTAAGAAAGCAAAAACCGACCACGGTAATGTTCAGATTGAACAGGCCCTGCAAACATGAAGCACGGAACGAAGCCCAGCGTTTAGAACGAACGTGACAGCGAAGCCGGTGCCAAACGGAACGAACAGCGAGACGAGGCGTCGAAGATTAACACGAAGAACAAATCGAAACAGGAACGAACAACGAAACGAAAAACAACACAGAAGGCCAAACACAAGCGAAACAACAGTTCCATCCGTCCTTGAGAGGGGGCCTCAGGGCCCCCTTCTCTCAGGAAGCCCTGCCCTCGCCTTCAAGGATCACGGGCGAGCGCAGAAGACGAGAGGCGGGATGCCAGGCTACCTTTCACTGGGCAGAGCAGGAGAACGCTGAGCCCAAAGTGGGACGACGTTGTCGTCGTCGCCGTCGTCATCGTTGTCGCCGCCGTAGTCGTCGTCGTCGCCGCCGTCGTCGTCGTAGTCGCCGTCATCAACGCCGTCGTCGCCATCGGCGTCGTCGCCGCTATCGTCGTCGTCATGCTCGTCGTCGGGGCGAATCACGAAGGAGAGGGTCGAGAGGAGAGAAGGGACAGGGACCAGAGGGGTCCTGAGACCCACCGGACGGGGCCCCCAATGGGCAGGGGGGACGACCGCCCCCGTCCCCCTCCTCGTCCTCCTCCTCCCTTTCCCCCTCCTCCTCCCCCTCCTCGAAGGAAGGGGTCGAGACCTGGGGGTAGACGTTATGACAAACATCATGACGTTCGGGGGCTCGTGGAGTTAAGTCGGGCATGTCCCTATACAGGATGAGTATGGAACAATTGTGAAAAATAGTCGGGGGACGATTTTTCGATGATTTGTTTTGACCATGTTTCCATATGCTTTGACGCGTTCTTATGTTTCCTTCAAAATCTGCCCGTCGGGGGACATGCCCGACCGAATCGTGGAGGGAGGGTTCTCCCAAGGTGGGGACAGGCAGCGGGCCCAGCTGGATGCTCCCGCTCCACGCGTGTCCTTCTGCCGGGGGCTGTTCGGAGCGTGTTCCTTGCCAACCCCATCTTGGCTGGGCCCCCGCCCACTCCTCCTCCTCCTCCTCCTCCTCCTCCTCCTCCTCCTCCTCCTCCTCCTCCTCCTCCTCCTCTTTCTCCTCCTCTCCTCCTCCTCCTCCTCCTCCACCTCCTCCTCCTCCTTCTCCTCCTCCTCTCCTCCTCCTCCTCCTCCTCCTCCTCCTCCTCCTCCTCCTCCTCCTCCTCCTCCTCCTCCTCCTCCTCCTCCTCCTCCTCCTCCTCCTCCTCCTCCTCCTCCTCCTCCTCCTCCTCCTCCTCCTCCCCCTTCCCCTCCTCCTCCGACGGCGTGCTGCCTGCGAGAGACCCCCCGACCTCCGAGGGCCACGGGCCCAGGATCGGACCGGCAAAGCACCTGCAGGACCTCCGGCAGGAGCCCTCTCCTTACAGTCGGGGCGTTGACCTAAGGAACCTCAAATAAGGAACGAGGCCCCAAGAGGCCCCAAGACGGGCCCAAGAGGGGCTCAAGAGGGGAACCGAGAACTGAAAAATCGAGCCCTCCGCCCCAGAAGGCGCCCAGGAGGCCCCAAAAAGGCCCCAAGAGGCCCCCAAGACGCCCCAAGAGGCGCCCAAGACGCCCAAAAGAGGCCCCAAGAGGCCCCAAAACGGCCCCCAAGAGGCCCCCAAACTCGGCTAGCCCACAACGGTGCGACAATATGGGCCGGCGGAATGAGCGAAGCGATTAAATAAGGACCGAGGCCCCTTTTTTCCATAAGTTAAGCTTCGATTTCCCATCGGAAGCCTCAGGAAAGCCGAAGCCAAGTGTAAAACAATCCAGGAACACCGAGCCCCTCCCCAACGAGAGAAGGGTTCCTTCTTCAGCGCCCTGACTGTAGCGCTGGTCGGAGCGTTTTCCTATTCGGCGCTTCGACTTTGGGCGGAGAGGGCGAAGAAGGGAGGGGGGAAGGGGGGGGTCGGGCTCGGGACCTCTGCGTAGTGCGACTGTTGGCAGCAGTGAGTCCTATGGGGGAGACTCCACCTGGTCGAAACAGGCGCCAACAAAACAGCCAAGATCTGCTCCATGGGGGGGGTGAGGGGGGGGTGCGAGGGCCCGTGCCGATTGGCAAAACAACATATGAAAAACGATCACCTGGTTGACATCGATGCTGGGGTGTCCCGCGGTGCGTTCTGGCCACGATTTCGTTGGGAATGCAGCCGTGGCGACGAGGACTAGCCGGGATCAGCTCATGCTCGAAAGACGGCAATCCAGGAACCGAGCCCGCCTGAGGTTGACCGCGAGTCTGGCCGCGGGCAGGGGGGGGCTGAACCCCTGCATGGCTGGAACGGAAGCTTCGGGCGAAGGAGAGGCATCGCTGCTCCGGGGCACGCAGCGAGAAGGCCACTCGACACCGCGGCCAGTCCAGCTTTCCGCACCGGGCCAGCTCGCAACGGCCCGAGAGGGCCCCGCGAGAGCCCCCGGGAGCCCCAAGACGGCCAAGAGAGAGCCCCCCGCGGTGGCTGTTGCTGCTCCACGGCGCGAGGGTGTAGGGATCCCGGAGTGGCACGAGCGACCCCCGACCTCTCGTGGGGCGCGCTCTCGCCATGGATTTAGAAAGGAACCCACCCGTGGCTCGTGGCCTCGCGGAGGCCCGTGCAGAAAACCTCCGATCCGCAGAGTCCGATCGCATACTCGTCGCTTCCGTGCCCGGCCCTCCCGCGCCCGCCGGGCGAACCGAAAGGGGCGCCGGTCGGGGAAGAAGTAGGTAAAGACATGAAGTAGGAAGGTGGATCAAGTAGATTGGGTTCAGGCCATCCCAGAAGGCAACGAAACAACATCGATTCTTGAAGTAGGAAGGCGCTTGAAGTATATATTGGGATCTGGGAATCGAAAAGAAACCTACTGTCAACGACTGGGGTGTAGGAACGCGGAGGAGGGACGAGGAGGACACGACGAGGGATGAGAGGGAGGATTAGATTAGGACAGCCACGAGGGGAAGAGAGTCGCCTATCAAAAGAGCAGTTCGAGGTGGCAACCCTCAGATGGGGACGTTGGACACCCTGGCGGGATGAGGAGTCCGCCAGGGCCACGACAGGGCGCCACTCCTGGAGCAAGGCCAGGCTTCCTCGGCCTGAGCCTCTCGGTCACCCTCTCACGGAGCGCTGCCAGTCAGCAGGAGGAGACAGGAGGTGGGCGGAAAAGGAGGAGGAAACAGGAGGGGAGGGGTGGAAGGAAGGGGATGGAAGGGGAGGAGAAAGAGGAGACCCATACCTCCATAGCCTTGGACGACTCAAGCAAGCCCGGCTCCATGCCTGAATGTCCCGGCGGCTCGACCACGGGCGCCGCGGTAGAAGAAGGCAAAACGACATAAACATACACTGCTTGCGGGCAATAGTTCTATCCACATCCAGTCGTCTTGGATTCTTGGGCTCTCTTCCCCAGAAACCGTAGACGCACTGGATATGGATAAAAATCTGGCCCCAAGAAGCTTGATTTTATCCATATCCGGTGCGCCTCGGCGTTGCGGCACCTCTTCCCAAAAAAGTCCACGACGCTCTGGATATGTATATAAGTACTGCCCGCACTGCTGGCGCACGGAACGCCAGAAGCTGGATCCCCCCCTCCACGCGGATCCAAGAAGTCCGCGCCAGACGCGCCGGGCAAACACACAAAACAACAACACCACGCGCCGCCGCAGCCCTGCGCGCTCGCCGCCTCGCCGCCCCGCCGCCCCGCCGCCGCCGCCGCCGCCGTCGTCGTCGCTCGTCGCCGCCGCCGTCGTCGCCGCTCGTCGTCGTCGTCGCCGCTCGTCGTCGCTCGTCGTCGTCGCTCGTCGTCGTCGCTCGTCGTCCTCGCCGCTCGTCGTCGTCGCTCGTCGTCGCCGCTCGTCGTCGTCGTCTTCGTCGTCGCTCGTCGTCGTCGTCGTCGTCGCTCGTCGCTCGTCGTCGCCGCTGGTCGTCGTCGTCGTCGCTCGTCGTCGACGATCGAGCGGCGCCGCGGAGCCCGCCCGGGGGGGCGGGCGCGGCGCAGGGAGCGGCGGGCGGGCCGCCCCCGAGGGCGGTCTCCGGGATCCTGCCGCCCATCATCCTGGCCGTGAGCTCGTCCCGCTCCTCGCCAGCGGCGCGCGCTCGGGGGGATCTGAAGGGGCCCTGGGACACACAAATATCGGGTCGGGCGAAAGGGGGGGATAGCAAAGGGGGAATTGAGAATCAGCTCACGTAGCTGATTTTCCCGGCGCCTCCCGGCGCCGGAGGCGACCATGTATCGAGGAATGGGCCCCTCGGTGGGGCCGAAACCAGCTGCATGCAGCAAATTCCGTAACCCCCCCTTTCCCAATCCCCCCCTTTCGCCCGACCCGAAAATTCGCCGGCCCAACGGGCCAGAGGCGTGCTAAGATCTCCGGTAACTGCTCTACAATGTTTCTACTTCGCGCGCGCGGGGCGGCCCCTGGGGGTCCCCAGACGAAAAGTACCCCGACCAGGTCCCGGCCGGTCCCCGGCCGGGTCCCGGCCGGGTCCCCCCGAGCGCTCCACGAGCGCACCAACAGGGCTCCGAAAACGTCCCCGAGGACCCAAACAAAACCAAGAGGCCCGCAAGAGGTCCCCAAGATGGTACACGAGGCGTCCGAGATGCCACAAGATCGCTCCAAGACGCCCAAGATGGCCCCCAGACGCTCCAAGAGGTCTCCAAGCGTACTCCCAAGAGGGCCCCAAGAGGCAAAATTCATTGCTTTTCCTTAGGTTTTGGACATATTTTGGCTTTTCCACCTTTTCCGCTTCCCGAAGCCCCAAGACAGCCCAAGACGACTCCAAGATCGCCCCAAGAGGGCTTAAGAGGCCCCCAAGAGAGCCCCAAGACGGCCCAAGAGGGCTCCAAGACGGCCCAAGAGGTCTCCAAGACGGCCCAAGAGGGCCCCAAGAACGCCCCAAGAGGGGGAACACGAAACAACATTTCCAGCCCTCGGCCCCAAGAAGCCCCCAGGAGGTCCCAAGAGGCCCCTAAGAAGCCCCAAGAGACCCCCCAGAAGCCCTCAGGATGCCCCCAAGAGGCCCCCCAACCGGCCCCAGGAGGCCCCCCAAATACCCCCCGGGCACGCAGGCAAGCGCCAGTGATGCTGCAATATGGGCCGGCGGAATGAGCGAAGCGATTGAATAAATACACACACATGAAATAACCCCCATATTTTCTTATATTTTCTGGATTTTTTTGTCTTCCCGCCCAATTCCCATATGTTCCTGTATTTTCTGGGGAATCGACGATTCATTGTGTCTGTGTGTTTTTTTCCCTCCTGAGGGTCGAGCTTCGAAGCGGGCGGGTGGTTGATTGGTTGCCGGCGAACGCAAGCGGGCAGGGGGAGGGGGGAAAGCTTCTCAGAACGAACCTGCTTCTTGGAGAGCGCCGGCCCTGGATCTACAGAGGAGGCAAGAGCCTCCCAAGGCGCAGGGGTGCGTGTAAGATGCCTTCTCCCCTCCCCCTACCCCCTCTGCGCGTGGCCGAAGTGGGGGATAGATAGGGGGTGAAGACAAGGGCAGAGAAGGGACCCGAGCCCTCTTCTGGCACTAAAGGGGCCTTGAAAGGGGCCCCCCAATTAGGCCACGTCACTTTAACACCCGCCCGTTCCGACGCGTCGAGGATCTAGCATCGAACTTCATCGTCGTCATTACCAACATCGTCATCATCGTCATCATCTCCGTCTCAGTCCTCATCATCACCGTCGTCGTCATCATCACCAGCATCATCATTATCATCAGCATCATCATCATCATCATCATCACCATCATCATCATCATCATCATCATCATCATCATCATCACCATCATCATCATCATCATCATCATCATCATCCCTAGCATCATCATCACCATCGTCATAATCACCATCATCAGCAACACCATAATGATCACCATCGTCATCATCATCGTCATCAGCATCGCTATCACCATCACCATCATCACCATCATCGTCGGGATCACCACCATTTTCATCACTAACGTCAATGTCTGCATCAAAACTGTAATCACCATCATCAGCAGCACAAGCAACATCATCAGTATACTCATCGACATCATCATCATCCGCAGCATCACCATCGTCATCACAATCGCTATCACCATCATCATCATCATCATCATCCTCATAATAATCATCATCACGATCAACATAAACATCAGCAGCACCATCATCATCATTTTTGATGCCATCGTCGTCATCGTCAACATCAGACTCATCATCGTCATCGGTATCGTCATCAACATCAACATCATCACCATCATCATCACCGTCACTATCAACCTCATCATCATCATCATCACAATCAGCACTACCTGCACCAACAGCATCATCATCATCATCATCAGCACCATCAGTATCACTATCGTCGTCGTTATCATGACCATCATCATCACCATCACCATCAGTAGCACCATCACCATCGCCATCAATATCAGCACCATCAGCATCATCATTATCATCATCATCATCATCATCGTCATCATCTATAGCATCGTCATTGTCAGCTCCTTCATCAATATCAGCATCATCACCAACATCAGCATCCGCATCAGCATCACCTTCACCAACATCATCGACATTATCACCATCAGCAACATCATTATCATCAATTTCATCATCAGCATCATCACCATCATCATCATGAGCATCGTCATCGTCAACATCTTCATCGACATCATCCTCATCATAATGTCTGTTAGCATCAGCATCACCAACAGCACCATCATCATCGCATCACCACCAGCATCACCATCATCATCAGCATTATCAATATCAGCATCAGCACCATCAGCAACACCATCATCAGTATCACCGTCGTCATCATCGTGAGCGCCAGCATCGTCATCACCATCACCACCATCACCATCACAATCATCATCAACATCAGCATCATCATCGTCATCAGCATCGTCATCATCATCATCATCACCATCAGCATCGTCATCATCATCCTCTGCATCACCATCATCATCATCATCATCAGCATCATCCCCATCATCAGCATCGCCATAATCATGATCGTCAATATCGCCAGTAATATCATCATCGGTGTCGTCATCATCATCCGCATCATCAATATCACCATCACCAAGGCGATCACCATCGCCGTCATCAGCTTCATCATCATCAGCATCATCATCGTCATCGTCACAAGCACAATCATCACCATCATCAGCACCACCACCATCCCCATCACTATCGCCATCACCATCATCAGCTTCATCAACATGATCATCTTCAGCGTCATCGTCATCAGCATCATCATCAGCATCTTCATAATAATCGTCACCATACGAATCATCAACATCATGAACATCATCAGTATAACCATCACCGCCATCAACATCATGATCATCGTCATTATGAACATCTGCATCGTCACCATCATCGTCATCATCACAGTCCGCATCACCATCATCATCATCATCATCATCATCATCATCACTGTCATCATCATCAACATCACCATCACCATTGCCATCATCTTCACCTTCACCAACATCATCACCATCACCATCAGCAAACCATCAGAACCATCGTCATCATCATTATGGTCATCGTCGTGATCATCACCATCATCATTACCATTATCATTATTATTACCACTACCATCGCCATCTTCATCATCATCATCATCCTCGATATCATCACCATCGTCATCACCTTCATCAACATTGTCATCATCATTATCATCACCATCATCATCCTCATCATCATAACCATCGTCAGCATCATCATCATAATCGCCGTCATGATCATCAGCATAATCACAATTACCATCACCATCACCATCAGCATACTCATCGTCATCATCATCATCATCAACATCATCATCGGCATCATCACCCTCGCCAGCCACGCCCGCAGGGGGATCAAACCTCGGGGCTTCGGAGACCGAGCATCGAACCTGCAGGATGGCACGGCTTTGGGCTGCATGAGCCCCACGGGGTTAGCCCAGGCTGGGCTCAACAGGCCCCCCGGGTTACTCCAGGGCGGTTTCGCCACAGTGGCGCCGCCTCCTGCGGCGCCCCTGGGGTGCTCCGATCTTCGGGGATGAAAATTGGAGTTGACCAAATCCGTCGGGAAGTGGCCGCCCCCTTTAGAAACTTCCAGGACAACTTGGTTTTGCTCCCAAACCAATGAGAGAGCTCCTTGGAACACGTGAGACTGCTCGAAGACCTGTAACTCTTCGGCTGGCAAATCTATTGTTGCCTCCGCGAGGTCCAGCGGGGGTTGCAAGGGACACTTTGCTGAAAAAGTGTAAGCAATGCGCGCGAACGCGAATGATCACCTTCTGGTCCAGGAGCGAGATGATGGACCAGGCCGGGCCTGGAGGGCCTGACGTCCGTTGTCCAAACATCACATGCCTCGACGGGGGCGCATGTGGCCACAAGTCCCGGCGGCTGCGGCCTTACGCGCCTCTCGAAGCGGCCCACTCGCGGGGGAGACCCCAGCAGTCTCCGCGTCTCGCGGGGCCGCGTGCAGGGCGGGGCGGCGCAGAGCGGCGAGAACGCGCGCACTGGCGCTGTGTCTTTTGGCGGCCCTTGTTTCCACCAGCGTTCCCTGCCGCTGCCCGACAAGGAAAGCATCTCTCCCCCGTGTCTGGCCCGCACGGCCCAGGCGGGCAAAAACAGAGGGAACGCGGGGTGCTGGCGGCACGAACTCCTGCCCACAGCGTGGCGGAACAGATAACCGATCACATACTGAATGACTACGCGCCAACCCATCCGGGGAAGGATGGCCGCTCGAAGAGAGGTTGGTTGGTTGGTTGGTGACCTCCCAGCGAGGTGGCATTTTGGGACTGCGGGCTCAGCCCCTTTAGTGGAGAGCTGCGGGGCCCAAACCAGCGACCGACAGCAACGCCACAACGTCAGCCCAGGGATGGATGAGACCACTCTCGGGAAGCAGTCCTGGTAGAGAGAGGGGGAGGGTACGAGGACTTGCGCGCCACCGTGCCCAAACCACCCTCAGCTCACAGGCTCCCTCCGGGGAAGTGCCACGCCCAAAGCCAGAAAGCAATTGGCCGATCAGACTGTCCAGCACAGCCCGCATTGACCACGATGGAAACCACCGCAACCGCAAGTTCACACAAAGATTC